ATTAGTTTACTTATTGTTGACTTTATAACAGAAGATTATACTATTGATATTTATTTTAATATTAATTTGATTAAAAATACAATTAAAAATATATTTTTTAATCATATATTTTGATATTTACCTGGTTAATTTTAATTATTTATCAATATTTATTATTTGAAAGATTTTTAATTCAAATTCAAATAGATATTTTAGTCTATTAAAAAAAGAATTTGCTTTGAAATTCTTTATTTTTACCAATTAAAATTCAATTTTTATTTCTTTTTTTAGATAAATTTAATTTAAACATGAACAAATATTTAAAGATATGTAGAATATTTCATTTATTCATTACAATTTTATTACTTAAAATGAATTTTATCAAGAAACTTTTCAACAAATTCTTTAAAAAACAACAAAAAAAAGTTGAAGATACTTGGGATTGTGGTGATGAAAAATCATTTCAAGAAAATCAATCATCATTGTTGACCAACAAAGAAGAAGAAATTTCTTTCCTCTGCTTATTAATTGAAAATGAAAACCAATTTGAAGTTGAAGTTTTTAAAGCAATATATAAAAATGAATATATTGTTTTTATACAATATGAAGACTTTAGAAACTATTTAAAAAAAAAAACATTTTAATATTTTTCAAGAATTAAAAATGGTTTTTGGTCTTTTCGAAGCCCATATTTGCTCATATTTTCATATGCAAAATGGTGGGTTAAAATATTATAATTTTCAAAATAAATATGATTTATGATCTTGGAATTGGTGACAGAAACAATATGTTGAAGATGTAAATGAATGTTTAGAAATAATAAACACAATAGTTAAAGAGTTTGGTTTTAAATACGTTTGGTCATAGAATGATTTAAACAATACAATGAAGAGTTTTTAGCATATTAATAATTTGTATAATAGTTTTATTTTATATTGTTCTATTTTTGTATATTCTATTTTAGTTGTGTATATATATTTTTATATTGTTTATTTTAATAAAATCTATTTTTAGCTTTACAATTTGGTTACAACTTTTTTAAAATATTTGTCAAATTTATACTTT